TCTTCTTCTTCTTTCTTACTTCTTCTTCTTCTTCTTTCCCTCTCTCTCCTCTCAAGTTCATTCATTTCTTTTTGCACTTGGACGGCATTGTACTTTCTGATGTATGAATACTTTGAAATTGGCCAGGATCGTAACACAACTATGATACCGGGCTGGGGGGTCTATCAGGTATATGACGGGGTCTACTCATGCATGGCTTAGCTCTAGGGTAGGGTAGGGATATAAGTCGCTCCAGCTAGTCTGAGTTCCGCCTAGCCTTCGGTAAGTAAAGGGAAGGATTGTAGGATGTGTCTGTGGGCGCTGGCTTGCCTTGCTTAGGTACTCCTGCTGGGTAGACTCTCTGAATTAGGCCTGTAGAAGATTGCATGAGCCTGGCGTCCGAAGTTCCCGTACAGCACGGTTGTCCGCTTCCGCTTCCACTAGGGCTGGGGGGTTGGCCAAGCCTTGGTGCTCGTCACTGCTGTCTGGTCCAAGTTGCCCTTAATACTGGTAGGGTGATGGTCCTGAGTGCTGGTCACACTGAGGTAGGATAGTTGGGACAGGGAGTGCGCTTGAAGTATTAACGTGGGGCTGGGTAGGGTAGGTGGCCTATCCTGTCAGAACAACCATTGGCTGCCGCTGCCAGCAATCACCGCGGGTCTGGTCCTTGGCCTCTACAACGTTTCTTTTTTTTCCTTTTGTAAAAACACAGGCTCCAATCTATTCGTGGGGGCAGCACGTGCTGAGAACCGGGCTCAGCATCCCTTATGAAAGCATAGAGTATACTCGGTATAGGACAGTATGGGAAGTTCCCAATTTCCTCTTCTTCTTTTTTGTGTATTTTAGTTTGAGTTTTGGGAAGATGGTGTGAAAAATCTGGGAGCATTTGCTCTGGATTTTTCAGGACATCTTGTATGGTATTTATAATCTCAGTGGGAACGATCTGAAACCCATCACTCCCAGGGCATAACATCTCGCACCTAGATTCTGTCTTCCAATCTTAGCCATATCCAAAGCCATAGCTCGGCAGGGGCTCCCCATTACATACTGTGTGCACGAAGCTGCTCCATAGGTCTCCACCTGACAGTGATTAGATTCAACATCTGACGTCAGTGGTTGGCTTTGCCTCCTACCCACTTAGAAAGAGTGCCACCATGAACCAGGCCACATTTATTTGGTCAATACATAGCCAGGAGTTCCACTGGGAACAGTTATGGTAGGCATATGGATGATAAAGCCCAGTATGAACTGTGACTGATTTTACTCTTGCCCTTTGTCTTCCTTCTGTTGTATTGACAGTGTGTGAATTTCTAGCCTGCTGGGTAAACCACGCCATTCCTTGGACACGAAAGCCAGGCTTTTGATCTACCTGCATGCCCTCGCGTAGTTCAGCATAAACTTGATGGGAAACATGTGAGATGTGGACGGAGGCATTGCCCGAACTGGTAGTTTAAGGGCATATCATGCTACGCGCGCTTTTTGGGATATATCTGCCCACCATCAAGCCTATGGCCAGACATCATGTTCTATTCTTTTTTTATGTTTTTTTTAAAGGTTGTGCAGGCTGAGGTATAGGCAGGCCCTACCCCGATGGCCAGTGCTATGTTCTATGTTGAGCATGGCATTTTGAGAATACTTCTAGCTCTGCACCAGTTCCCTGCTGGCCAGATACTCGTAGGCCTAGTTTAGGCATAAGAATCTCTGCCTGGCTGGCTGGCTGGCTGGCTGCCTGCCTTCCTGTGGCTTGATGGGAGGCACCTCATACCGGTAATAATCTGATCCGAAAGCTGTCCTGTTGTTGGAAAACAAAAAGAGGGAAAAGAAATTGAAAGTTTTTTGAAACCCTGTTGCGCACAACAATCTGGAGGGGCATACTCTTCCTTTTTCAGTGAAAGCTTCTTTGGGACAAAAGAAGTGAAACATGCTGAAAATTGGGTTCTGTGAGTCGAGCTATGTTCCATTCCACATCAGCAGAGAAGATCTGCTGTCATTTCTCACCTGAAAAGCTTCCCTGCTCCCTTACCGTGTTTGGCGCTTTGAAACGTAGAATACATACCACTTCAAGTTCCAGCATTGCCAGCAGCAGCACCCACCTTCCTTGCTGCTGGTCTAGTACCCAGTGGAAGGGGTCCACCCTAGACCCGGGCGGAATCCAGATCACAACTCCAGCGCTTCCGGGGCGCAATGCCGGGGCTCGGTACGCCATGTGTGGCTAGATCTGTCCGTGGATCCAGTTATGCTCCAGTGTGTCCATCAAGTGTGCTTTTTGGACACATATGATGGCGGGCCACATTAGGCCCCCTACCCCTCTGATCAGGTCCAAAACAACTTGTTGTTTATCCGTCTGCCGAGGCCAGGCCATTCACGTTAATGGAACAGAGGTCTAGAAGTAGGATATCATGCTCAGCAACATAAGGGGGGAGAGAACAGGATTATGAGTGCAGAGCTCATCAGCAGAGTGCCTGCCTCCTTACCCCCGTCAGCGCAGGGTCCACGGGGGTCAATCACATTCATACACACGATTCGACAGTGGGATGGCAGAGTGCACCATTGCAGAATATGTTTCTCAGCCCAGAAAGGCTGGTCAATGGGAGGTGAGGCACCAACTTCCCAGTACGTCAGTGCTGGCCTTCTCACAGCATGGGCACATACACAAGCCTCCACACAAATCAATAGTTGAGCTTCTCGCCCTCACACTTTCACAAACCTGTAGGGAGGGTCGGGGTATAGTCGGACGACAGAACTGAGGGGGCAGGATGGAGAAAAGAAGGGACCGGTTGTCACATGGAAAGGTTGGACATCATGTGTGGCATACTGCGCAGCCACACGGGCCTGCAGGGCCTGTCCCGCAGTCTCAGCCTAAAAGCCTAGAAACAAGGGCTTACAGGCCCCGTGTCGTTTCAGCCTGAAAGACTGAAAAACGAGGGCCTGCAGGCCTTATGTCGTTTCAGCCTAAAACAGGGCCTTTCAGGCCCTGAGTCTTTTCAGCCTGAAACGGAGGGCCACTTTCGGGCCCTCATAAGATCGACCTGCCCTAACACTCAGGCACCAAACCAGGGTTTCGGAACAGGCTATTTTTGGCCTGTTACCCACGCCAGCCTCAGCAGGAGCTGCAGCAGCAGGCCCTGGCTCACTTCGGCATTGGCAAGAGCAGCCTCCTGGACTGGCCCGCCCTACAGCTGCAGGCAGTCAGGAGGCAAGCCGAGTAGTACATAGGGAGTTCACATGCACTTCACGGGCAGTCAGAGGCCGAGGCAGTAATAGTCTTCAGGATTCGGCAGCAGCACTCTGGAGGAGCGCTGCAGGAGTAGCTTAGCGCTAGCAGTAGTCTCCAGCGCTGGGCGCTAGTAGCAGTAGCAGTAGTCTTCAGCGCTGGGCGCTAGTAGAGGTACAGGAGGTGAGAGAGGGAGATGGCTGGCTGAGGCCAGGGAGACTCACCTGTGGCACCATAGCTCCAGCTTCATCTTCAAGGTACCTGCATCAAGCGCCAACTTCACAGGTTAGTACCGGACTGAGAGAGAGAGAGAGAGAGAGAGAGAGAGAGAGAGAGAGAGAGAGAGAGAGAGAGAGAGAGAGAGA